CAATTTCTGTGCCCATAGCACTTCACAGTACTGCTTTATTTTAAGCCATAGCGATCCTATGAGGAGGAGGGGTTATTGATACATGTTTCCAATTTACGAATGAGGAAACTGAGGCTGAGTGAGGAGGTTATTCCAGATGAAGTAGCTATAATTTGTTAATGCCCTTTATAGGTAAATCTTTAAATATTTCATTGAGTTGTGGCAAAATAAGGTAGGTACCATGATTGTCTCCACTCTAAAGATGGGGAGGCTGAAGCTGAGACAGAGAGAGGCCACAGATCCAGGAAAGGCAGCACAGAGAGACTGTGCCCTTACCAGGGACTCCATTTTCCCCTCTGCCACACGCCCACCCACACCCAACACACCACTCACCAGGGACCTTGAATTGAAACAAAAATTATAGCAATTCAGTCCACAGCCTCCGGACATCCTTCCCTTGGATGGAGACAGAGAGGCGGAGACAGAGAAAGACAAAGAGAAGAGAGAGAGGCAGAGAGTGTCTGGAGAGAGGGTGGCCATCTTTGAGGGCAACTTTGACTAATGAACTCTGGGTCTGGGTTCTCAGAAACGCATCATTTCTGACAAAAGGGCAGAATCAGATAAACACCCCCGCTGTGCCAGATTTGAGTCTGATCTAGGGGGAACGACATTGACGTTGCCATGGAAACCAGTCTTTTTTTTTTTTTTCCCCCTCAACTGTTCAGGAGCTCTATTTTTTTTTTTTTTTCCTAAAGAGATGGTGATGTGTGTTTCTTGGAAAAATTGTCAGGGATTTCTTTCTTCTCCTTGTCCCTCTTCTTCCTCTTCTTTCTCTCCTCCTCCTCCTCCTCTTCCTCCTCCACCTCCTCCTTCTTCCACGTGATGCCCCCAGTCGGATTAGAACACAACGTAGGGGTGAGGGGAGCAGGATGAATTGATCAACAACAGTTCTGACAGGTAGTCTGTCGATTTTCCAGAAAAATGTATGTCTCTCTAAATATCTCCCAACCTGACTGACAGGAGGGATTATCCTGGCGCCATCACTGCCTCTCCCCAAGGTGTGGGGCTTGTCTCTTCACGCCTCTCCCTCCCCCTACCCCCCCACCCCCACTGGGCCGGGAGCCCTAGGGCAGCAGCCGCTGCTTCCGGTGTGTGTTTAATCTTTGCACCCAGTGCCGGCAAGGAGGTGACCTCCCAGGAGCACCTGGCGCCTCTGTGATGCTGCTCCCATTCCCCGGGAGTGCTGTGTGCTCAGTGGTGTCTTCCCTCCACACTCCTACACTCCCACCATCAAAATGCAGCTCATCCTTCAAGGCCTAGTTCCAAAGCCAGTTCCCCCGGGGACCCTGGCTGACACCCACACTGTCACGCTCTCCCCTGCACCTTTCCTACACCCCTTCCCTTCTGCCTTATCTCCCTGTCAACTGTGAGCCTCTCAAGGGAGCCCTTCCCAGTGTTGGTGAGCAGGTTAAAAAGTGTGCAAAAGCCCAAACCGGAGCTTATTCTATGAACCAAGGTGCTGTATTATCATGATTTCCTGTCTTCCCCTGACTCTCCGTCAGCTAGCAGTGCTCCTCGAGTCCCCATCCTCCGAAACCCAGAGCAGCTTTTCCCTGACCAAACCCCCTCTGGTTAAACTTTTCTGGAATGAATCTCCCACTCCTTAGGTATTGTGGGAGGAGTTTGGTACCCTCCTTTTCTTCTGCTGGGACAGCTAGGACTCCGCCAAGAATAGCACATGGCCCCAGGGTTGACCCTAAAACCAGAAATGTCTGTCATCCGTCTCCTATCTCTCATCCTCTCCCTTCTTTCCGGTCACACACTCACAGCCTATTCATTCCAGAGAAAAGATGGCTTTGGCTTCTTTTTTGAGGCAATGGAGTGGCAAATCCATTTATGACAGAATGTTTGAACATGTGTTCATTAAGTCTTTAGTTGACTTTGTGTAATTGAAAAAAACGGTGGGTGTTTACACACTGGCCATATGGTCAGCCTGCCTCAGTGAGTGGGATGCCAGCCCAGATCCCTGCCCTGGCTTCCCCGTGCCCTCAACAGAGGCCAAATTCCAGGGCTCTGTGGGTGCAGTTAGGGTTGTCTAATGCCAGGGCTCGGCAGCCTATGCAGCCCCGAGTGGGCAGCCCTCCTCCCCACCAGGCATGTGTGAATGGCCACAGTACTCAGTGTTAGCAATGAGCTTGGAGCTTCAGCCTCCAACTCTGCCCAGAGTCAATCCCAGTCTCTCCTTCAAATATCTGGCCATCTAAGTTTGAGAAGAGCTGTGAACGAAGCCATTAACTACCAAGCTATGTACAGGGATGCGCGGTTACTGCCGAGGGGCACCATGGTTAAGACACTGGTACCACGATTCTGTGGATCAGAATCATGGCTCCGCCAATTCCTAATCACATGACCTCGTACAGCCTCCTGCACTGCTCTGTGCCTCCATTCCTCCATCTCAAAGTGGGAGTGAGGATGTCAGTACGACATCAATAATGTTGATGATGGGGCTACTTACCTCACGGAGCTGGAGGAGGGTTATATGACGTGCTTAGTACCCGGCACACAGCAAGGGGCATTCATGTGCTTGCCATTCTTTTATTTTTTTCTTAATATTTTATTTTTTTAAGTAATCTCTTCATCCACCATGGGGCTCCAACGTATAGCCCTGACATCAAGATCTGTACGCTCTACCAACTGAACCAGCCAGACACCCCACATGTTTCCTATTCTTACCATTAGCCATTGATACTGAGCTCCAGCTGAGAATGAGCTAGTTTTGATAACTGTGACTTGACTTTGGGGGTGGGGAATGGAACTATATATAACCTTGACAGTGTTGCTCGGGATCCTACAAAAGCAGGCTGGGGGGCAAAGGAATCACACACACCTGGGTTTGAATCCCAGCTCATCTGCTCTGGCCCTAGGGTACCTCTTCATCCCTCTGAGCAAGCCTCAGTTACTATATCTGTCAAATGGGGGTCAATAACCCCTCTCTGCCCTGGTTATAATAAACCTTAAAGCTAATTATGCAAAGGACCCCAGCGATCACTGATCACCTTCCTCTTCAAGCTGTTGGCTAGTAGCCAACGGTATTATATCGGTGGCATCCTCAAACTTGTCTCTTGCCATCCCTGTGTCCATGTCCACCTCTGTCTCCAGATGTCAGGGCGGAGACTCTGCATCATTCATCATCAAATGCCCGTGCCCAGCACAGCCTGGCCCATCCACGGTTGCTCAGCAGATACTGAAAGGGTGAAGGACGTTGCATTGCAAGGCAAGGGGCCAGGCGTATCTCTTAGCCCTCGCTTCTGACCACGGCATCATTTCAGGGCCCCCCCTGCCTGAGGATGGAGGCCTTCCCACAGCCCATCTCCAGGCCCAGACTACCAGGACACTCTGCCCCCGAGCCCGCCCTGCCCCCAGCACCTTCCCTCCCCTACCAGGCTCCCTGAGCCAGAAGATAAAGAAAGTGGTAAAGGGAGGTCAAGACTTTCAGACACATCTATCTTTATTTGTTTCCTGTCAGAAAAGTTCAAGAGTTACACCAAAAAATACTTCAGCCTCTGCTACCTACTGACAAAAATACACCACAAAATTATAAAGCGCTCAGCGGTTTTTGCTAGGGACAATTTGTTACTCCGCTTCGATGACAAATGGATTTACAGGTGACTGGAGGTGATGCGGAGGGAGGAGGAACATCAGATGATAGGGTTTGGCAGGAGAGCTTGAGCTACGCAAGCCTTACTACCTAACTGTGGCGTGTGACGATTTCGGCACCCTAGCAAGCCAGGAGAGAGTGCCTGTTAACCGGCCTGTCACAGCTTTGTGGGGAAACGGTCCTACATCTCAGATAACCAACTCTCCTAGCCAGTACAGCCCTGAAGGCCCGGGGCCACTCCCCACAGCATGGGCCCCCCCAGGACCCTTGGCAGGAGAGCCTGGTGGGAGCAGGCACAGGCTAATGGGGTCCCAGGCAGCAGGAGGCCCGGCCAGTGCCTCCCCTCATCAGGAGTTTCTAGAACTAGACTGGGAACTCTGGGTGCTTGTCCAATGGTTGTCAGTGCAACCAGTGGCCAAATGACGGTCACATTCTTCAGCTTCTGGTAGGAATGATTTGGTGTCGTTGCAACCCCCATCTTGAAGTCTCTCACCTGAGGCTCCTGGTTACGACCCTTATCGCTCTTCCAGTTGTGACTAGCACTTTGGGAAACAACAAACAAACAAGAATTTTAAAACGTGGTGCCTGTGCTTCTAGCTTGGCTGAATGTGATACAAGCTGGTTGTGTGCCTTCCTTCCTCCCGTGGCGTCTCCTCCCCTCTCTCCCTTACTACCCCTGCTGCCTCTTGACCATAGGCAGTACCCACTTGGAGATGTAGAAACGCTAGAAAAAGACGGAGAACGACTGCCTGCGGCTCATTGTTTGCTTGTGTCTGTACATCCCAGGGCCGCCTGGGTCAGCCTGAGCCCTAGCTCTGATTCCCATATGGACAATTTGTGCTAACACACTGGTGGGGGCGGTGTTCCTCTCTTTGGGTCTCATGCGTCCTGGGCTTACCAATGCCGAAATCAGCCCTTCTCTCCAGCTGGGCTGGTCCTCACTTCCCGTATTCCTATCCTGCAGACCAGAGGCCAACCACCTAGTGCCAGCCTGCGTGACTCACGTTTCCGGTATCTTCCAAACGCCACACTGCAACTACAGCTTCTCTGCTAAGAAGCCCAGAGTCTGTGGTCTCTACTGCCCGTCAACGCCTTCCAGATCCAGCCAGTTTACTCTGGTTTTGGGGGTTTTTTTGTTCATTTTGTTTCCTTTCCTGTTTTTAAAATTTCCTAACAAGTAATAAGCAGCGGCTTTGAAAATATCTTACATGGGGACAATCAACACGAAACATGCCTTTGTACATAATCCTGACTTGGGGACGAATCAACAATACCAAAAGACAAAAAGAAATACCGATTCAGACAACTCCAGTGCACGATATTTTCGGTGAGTTCCCCCCCACCCCACCCCTGTCCCGCCCCCACCCCCATATCCCAGGAGTACAGTGGTGTCTTGTAACTGGAGCTTGGCTTAGCCAATGGGGGGGTCCCCCTCCGCACCCCCCCATTCTGGCTGGGGGTGGGCCTCTAATGGCCCTGGGTCTTGGGCGGCTTGGGCTCATGGATGACAGCAGCCGCTGACAGCCATGGCCCAATGGCCCGAGCAGTGCTCTGCTTGGCCACACTGTAGTGGCTGATGACCGTGTAGAAGCGGCTTCTGGAGTTGGGGTCCTGGGATGAGTAGTAAGCATCCAGGGAGGCCGGGATACAGCGCTTGTGCTGAGGAAGAGAGAGACAGTCAGTGGGAGCTCAGCAGATGGCTTCCAACCCAACCTACACTGGGGCCACCCCATCTGGGGGCCATCAGCACACGGGGCTCTCAGCCAGACAGCAGGCGATGTCACCTGGCCTGGTCCCGGCCTTCTGCAGGCTTTTCCAACATCATCACCATCGTGGTGATTTCTTTCTACTCAAAGCCAGAAAAAATAAGCCCCGACTAGACGGGTGGTTGCCAGAGACAGGGGTTGGGGGTAGAGGTACAGGAGAAAGTGGTAACAAGGTACAAATTTGCAGTGATTAAATAAGAAGCCCTGGAGAGGTCATGGACAATGGTGACTCTAGTTAGCAGTACTGCTATTGTATATGTGAGAGTTGCTAAGAGAGTTGATCTTAAAAATTCTTATCACAAGAAAAAAATTTTTGTAGCTGTAGAGTGACAGCCATTCACCTGCTTTACTGCGATCATTCCAAAATATATGCAGATATCGAATCATTCTGTTGATTTCTGAAGCTAACGTGATGTTATTTGTCAACTATTCCTCGATTTTAAAAAAGAGAGTAAGAAACCTGATGCCGATACTAACCCAAGGTCCTCTGTCTACTGACTGTGGAGTTGCAGGGGACACTGGTAGTAACCCATCGGGCCTCGTGGTCAGGCGGGTCCACCCATCCCCCAGTTGCTCCTCCGGGCCAATTGGTCCCACCCGTGGCTATTTCATGTCTTTGATTTTATACTTCTAACTCCTCTCTCTTATATCAAAATCTTTGGTTCCTAGCAACATTGATCGAATTGTATATTTGCGTTATCCTATGATATATACCAAATGGTCAAAAAATAACACTAATATTATGACTAAGAGACTATTGAAGCAACTTTAAGATTTCTCTGCAGCTTTCTGTGTCCTTAGAATATATCCCAGGGAGGGCGTGCAGTCAATGCTCTATGCTCTGAAGTCATTTGGAATATTTATGTTCTTGGTACATTTATGTCCCAAATGTGACGTGGAGCTAGATCCTTTGTTAAGCTTCTTTTTAATTTTTAGAAATTACGTTTTCGTCTTTACTTCTTCAATTTGTCAGACATTTACAGACACCAAGGACAAATATGTAGCAAGATGTATCCAGGGAAGCCTTTCTCCTCCTCCTTGTCCTCTCTACTCTTTTCCGTCCCTTCCCCCAAATAATCACTTTTCTTAGTTTTTTTAAATTTATTCTTCTAGAATCTTCTTCTGAAAATATAAGCAAATATCCTTCACCTCTTCTTTTCCTCACACAAAGGCAGCACCTTTTCCTCTTCATTACAATTTGGAGGATATTCCAGGCCCGTGTGTGGGGACCTTCCTCACTCACGGTGGCGAAGAATTTCCTTGTGTGACTATATCATAGCTCAGTCAACTGTCTCCTATCGAGAGTTGTTGCTGAACTTTCAGAACCTCAGCTTTGAACTACTAGGAATTCAGTCTTTGAAAGTCAAACTTGGCAGACCCAAAGGCCATGTGTTTCCAAGGGAGAATATTCCCCGTTGGAATTTAGGAATTCCTCATTTAGGAATGTAATGTGTCATTTGGAAACCTCACTTATCATAAACATTCTTACCCTGTTTCCTCATATGCAAAACAGGGGCAAAAAAAACCTATTTTTTTTCAGAATGGGTATACAGTTCAACTGACATAATGTTTGTGAAAACAGCTAAGAAAGGGTGCAATTTATAATAGGTACTTTGTAAATGAGAATTTATAAATATTTGTATCACCTGTTTTTGCTGTAAAGCAAATTCTGTCTTTAGTGCAACTAATACTTGTTGAGAGCCCATTATCTAATAGGTCCTTTGCTAACTGGTTTTACCTAAATTCTCTCCTTAGGCCTCACAAAAAGCTTGGGGGTAGGTATTCTTAGAGCCCATTTGACAGGCAAGAAAACTGAGGTTCAAAGGGGCAAGAGATGCCCCAACGCCAGCCATCTGGTTCGGTTCTTCAAGGGGAGGAGCAGTCAGAGCAGGGTTCGGAGCAAAGGGCCCCCCAGCAGGACTCAGGGAGACCTCAAAAGCACCTGCTCCCCATGCTCCCATCTCCACGGACCAACACCGGGCCTGGGAATCAGACATCACACCAAAGAAGGTCAGGCAGAGCTTTCTGCAGAGGGACCAGCCCATCTCAAGCGGGAGGGAGCTCTCCCTGACCGCTGACTTGCAGCCCAAAGCTGGAGCACCTCTGGACTCCGGACTCTGGAGAGCACCATCTGGGAGGAAGAACTCTACTGCCTGCCGGAAGGAAACCGTGTCCTCCATGGAACTCCTTGCCTGGCACACAATACATTTTAAAGAGTCTGCAGGGAGGTTGCCTGAATTTGGACAACAACGATAAACCCTCCCACTGAAGCTGGCAGTCTCCTGGGGCCCCCCACCGGCCAGAGGCCCCTTACCTTATAGACAAAGCCCTCTGGGCAGCTGTGGTCGTAGGTGAAGGCTTTGTAAACCACCAGGAACACGATGCAGGCAAGGAAAGCGAGGGCCAGGCTGACGAGAATGGTGACCTGGAGGAAAACAAAGCTGAGAGTCATCCAGCCTCAGCCTCACCTGCCTGCAGCCGGCCACGCAGGCAGCCTTCATCCAGAGCTGGAAGGCAACGCGGTGTGTCAGAAAGGGCAGGGGCCTGGAGCCTAGGGAACAGGCTCTGTGTCACTCTGTCACTAACTTGCACAGTGATCTGGCAAGCACTTGTACTCTTTGGGCCTCAGTTTCCCCCTTCTGCTAGACACTTTCTGAAGCTCCTTCTCAGCCCAAGTGTGATTCTTCCCCTCATTTCCCTTTCCTGTTAATTGTGTGCACGTGCAAAGGTGGGGGTGGGGGTCAGGGGGTGGTGATCATTAAGCCACCTGTCACTTCCGGTGCTCCCACCTTCCACCATCCCCCCTCCCTACCACTACTGAATTCCCATCTCAGACACAACTGCCTCTTTCACCTCCACTTGGACATGCTGCAGGCACCGTAGACACATTTCCAAACCAAACCCCTGTCCCTCGCCCTCCCACATCTGCTCCTCCTGCATTTTTCCCCAACTTCACCTTTGCAGTCACTCGGGCCAAACGTCCTGACTCCTTTTCTCATATTCTACATCCAATCTACAGCAGAACCTATCGTGTTCGCCTTCAAACATATCCGTAATCCAATAGCTTCTTACCACCCTGGCCATCTCCAGCCTGGCCAAGCCATCGTCACTTCTCACGTGCAGTTCCAAAGCCACCCCTCACTAGCAGCCTCCTCAACCCCTGCAAAGTAGTCACACACAGCACCCTGAGAGGTCCTTTCAAAATCTAAGTCAGGGCACGTCCCTTCTCTGCTCATCTACCAGTCCCCAAATTACTCACAGCGAAGGCCCAGCTCCTAACCATTATCTACAAGCAAGCTTTAAAAAAAGTAACACCACACTAAACAGGCTGGAGGCACCACCAGGGTTTATCCAAAAGGAGTAAATGGCTAATTTCAGAGGTCCCTCTAGGCTTGCGCTGACCCCGTCCCACTCTCTCTGTACAAAGCAGGAGGGTAACCCCCATGGTATCAGGCACCTAGCGTTACAAGCAGAATTGTTTTCATGTTATTTTTAAAAGGTGGCCGCCTTTTGAGTCAGTTGGCCCAGAAATATAGCAGAATTCCTCTGACGGAGAGAAGATTTCTTTGATTCGGGGGAAAAAATCAAGTCGCCCTAAGGGGTCCCCATCCCACCTCCTTCCCAAACCGGGAAGGACAGAGGAGACAGAAGTCTATGTTGCTCCAAATGAATGGAGTTGTTTGTTGGCAGCTTTAAAAACTGGGGGTGGGGGTGGGGGGATGGGCTTTGAAAAGGAAAGAGGAAGACAGATATGGGAGGTGACCCTCTAAACCGATGGCCAGGCACTGTCCATGAGAAATAGCCCATGCATGTGTATATAAAGGTTTAGGACAGTCTGCTATGATGAGACAAGAAAAATATATATCTGGATCTTGCTCCCAGTTCTTGGCACGGAACTCCTAAAACCATTATAATTTCCTAAATGATAGGAGTACTAGAAGCATCTTTTGTTCTAATATTTGGGTTTTGTGCCCAGTTCCTGAAATAGCCCAGATCCATAAAGATGAGAGGAGTGTTTTTTATTATTCATAACAAGTCCCTGAGTTTATGTTAATGATGGGACTTCTGGAAAGTCCCTAAAGATAGGGGTCGGCCACCAGGGAGCCAACCAAGTGATGAGAGGTTTGGAACTTGCGACCCCGTCGCCTCACCCACAGGGCAGGGGGAGATTGAGTTCGATCACTGATGGCCAGTGATCTCATCAATCATGATCATCAGTCATATAGAACAAAGCCTATATAAAAATCTTGAAGAGATTCAGAGAGCATCCAGGTTGGTGACAAGAAGGAGCCCGTATGGGGGACATGTGGCTCACCCCACACTCTACACAGAGACAGATGCCCTGTGTTCAGGAACCTTCCAGACTTCACCCTCTGCCTCTCTTCGGGGGGCTGTTCATTTGTAGCCTTCATAAGAAATCAATAGCACTAAGGAAAGCACTTTCCTGAGTTCTGCGAGCCGTTCTAACAAATTATTAAAACTGAAGAGGAGGTTGTAGGAGGCCCCAGTGAATAAATAGCAAGTCGGTGAGGAGTACAGATACAATCTGGGACCTGGGAGCAGCATCTGAACCAGCGCAGTCTTGTGGGACTGAGCCCTTAAACCTGGGGCAGGGTGGGGGGGTCTGTGCTACCTCCAGCAGCAAGCATCAGAGTCAAGTTACATTATAGGACATCTAGTCAGCATCCCCTGAGTCTTAATCGGAGAATTACTTGGTGAGGGGAAAACCCCACACATTTTATGTCAGGAGTGGTGAAAGGATGGAGGAAAAAGATGTTAGATGGTGACATTTCCAATTCACTTCTAAACTCCGGTCGGCGCTGTGAGCTGCCTCCCCCCACCCCACGTGCACGCTGTGGCCTGTTGCACACTCACCAGCATTTCACCCAAGATAGGGGTGGGAGAGTGCAGAGGACAAACCAGAATCCCCCGGGTAAGATGTGGAGAGGGACGGAGATGTCAGCAGAGGCTGGAACCTGGCACAAGAGAGGCCCCAAATACACCTACACCCCCTTACGGGTGCTGGAGAGAGTATTTGATTAGTACAAGGAAAGGAGCCATTACAGACCACTAGCTGATGTTAATGACCTACGACTACCTGGTCGACAGATGTTTGAAGTGTAGATGTAAAGAATTTTCAATGTCCAGATTTCCCAATAGCCAGAGGCAGAAACAGCCCAAATGTCCATCAAGTGATGCATGAATAAACACATTGTCCACACAACAGAACACTATTCGTGCACCGAAAGGGAGGAAGCACTGGTAGATACCACAAATGTAGACGAACCTTGCAAACATGCTGAAGGAAAAATGTCAGGCATAAAAGGCCACATACTGTATGATTATTTTTCTTTTCTTTTTTTTAGAGAGAGAGAGAGAGTGGGCATAAGCAGGGAAGGAGGGTAGGGGGCAGAAAGTGAGAGAGAGGGGGAGAGAGAGAGAGAATCCCAAACAGGCTCCACACTCATTTCCTGAAAGCCTGTGGCGGTCAGGGAACACAGGGCTGTGAGTCAAGCACAAGCCCTCCCTCGGAGCCTCACAGTCCACAGGGTGAGGGAGAGGTGGGCAGGTGGGGGTGGGCACATGCCACACAAGAGGTGGCACCATGAGTGAGGGCAGCATCACAGGGGACTTCTAGGCCTAACCAGCCTGAAAGTGGGAGGAGGGTGAGGGGTCGCGGATCAGGGAAGGCCTCCTGGAGGAGGCAATGTTGCAAGTGACTTCCTGGAAGAACGCTAGGATAGGGAAGGAAGAAGGTTCTGAGCAAAGACGTCGTATCTGTTGCAGGGTGGCAGCTGGGACGGTTCTGGAAACATCACATGGTTGACCACGGCTGGCCCAGAGGATGCAGGTGAGGAAGACAGAGGTCTGGGGCAACAGGCAGGAGGCAAGAGAACAGGTAAGGAAGGGCCAGGCTAAAACTTGGCTTTATCTCCAGGGTAACAGGGAGCCCCTGAAGGTTTTGAGGAGGGAAGTGACAGGCTACAAATTGTGTTTTGGAAAGATGTCTCTGGGAGCAACAGGGAGGCAGCTTGGCAGGGGCTGGAGGCAGAGAGGCCAGCGGCGAGGCTGATGCACGAGGCCCTGCCCCCAGTGCTGAGGCGGGGCCTGGGGCCGTGAGGGTGGGAGGGATGGATACTTCGAGAAGTTCCTGGGAGGTAAGCAGAGTGAGGTGAAAGGGAAGGAGGGCCGGGTTGGCTCTGAGGACAAAGGGTGACATTTGGGCTGGTGTGGATTCTTGTGAACAGAGCAGCACTGGTGGTTGGAAAGGAAATGGGGAGTAGATGAAGGTTCCCACTGTGCTATCTGGATGAGATGTTCCCTGAGGAAGGATCTCCATGGGACATCCTGGGGGGCTGGCCATCCTCAGCTGGCCCCTCCCTTTCTGGCAGATTCGTTAGTGCTTTGGTCCTGATGGTACAACTCCCAGCACAGAGGGGGATCCTCAGAGAGGACCCCGGGAGAAGCTCCCACCTCCCCGCAAGCACGTCGGAATGCGGAAGCCTGACTGAGGTCCCCGGGCCCTCGGCTTCCCCTCTTGACATGACAATCTGGGACCAGAAAGAAAATCCAGGCTAGATCTGGGTTTCCTCGGAGATGCCATCCTCACCACTGGAAATACTCGCGGCGCCCCGCCCCTCGTGCGTTCATCGGAGCACCCACTCAGCACACTCTGATGAGGGGCCCACGGCTGCTGCACAGTGATCGCTGCCAGAGCTGGTGGCAGAGATGGGATCAGATGCTGAACAATCAGATCACCAAGAAATAATTACAAAACAAGCCCTGGGGAGGACCCGGAAGGGCACAGACCAGGGATAGGGTGGGCCAGGCTGGGAGAAGGGGCTCCAGCTAAGAAGCTTCTGGTCTGGTCCAGGGTGAGGCGCCAGCCCACAGACCCACAGAGAGAGTCTAGGGCTCCAGGGGGCCCGGAAGGAGCAGTGTGGCTGAGACAGGGAACAAGGGGAGAGGACACGGAGATGAGGCATCATAGGGCTTTGAGACCAAAGCCACCCTTGTCCTGTCCAGGACAGGAGAGGCACCTCCCACACATCCCTGTGCCTTCAGCTAACAACCTGCTACGTCTCAGCTCCCAGGGCCAGCCTCCAGCTCAGGCCACCAGTCCCCGGCTCCGCACGGTCCCCTCCAGCCAGGCCCAGCCCACGGAGGGCTTCTGCACTTGTGCTTCTCAGCCCGGAACTCCCGCGTGACCTTCCGCTCAGGGAGAACGGCCTAGCCCTCTTCCCCTTCCCTGCCCGGCTCTGTACGGGGTCTGCTTAGGCAGCTCTGAGGGTGCCCACTCTGTCACCATGACCTACTCACACCTCTGACCCCTCCCTTCCCTGGGGAATGCCTCAGGCAGCGAGGGAATCTCATCCTCTCTCGTATGCCTGCCACCGTGATTCCCACAGACGGGCACCAGCAAAC